GTTCCTTTTTTCCCCCTTTTCTTTCCTTTCCTTTCCTTTCCTTTCCTTTCCTTATCTTTTCTTTCCTTTCCTTTTCTTTTTTTTTCGTCTGACTTCTAGCTTCATATTCTGGATGCTGTGTTTGAGTCGGAGATCAACGCTGGCCGTGATGTCTATGGAGGGGAACCAGGCCCATCCACCTGTCCGTCACCAAAAGTTAGAACTTCGTTGCACCGAGCTGCCAAACGCCCACGATTGGACTAACTCACTTACTTATCAAACATGTCCACATTTTGAAAATATTTTTGATTTTGTCTAAATCCGTAATCAGTCATTTATGTAATAGTCATTTATGTAAAATAATACATTGAAATAACCGCTTGTTTAATATGACTTACACGTAAATGGTTGCAGGGCGGTAGGATTGCAGGGTGTTAAGTATCCAATGCCGCAAGATCGATATCTCCCGCTGCCTTCTTCGCGCTCCCATTCTCGCGATTTTCACGTTAAGTGCACATATGTATATACCAATCTCTTGCAAATTTTATTGTCTTTCGACTGAAGTGGCGGGATTTTCGATATTTTGAACAGAAAAAAAGTTATGAGCGAAAAATGGGGAAAACCCGTAAATTTTAGTCGTTTTTTTCAAAATGGCGGCCGAGGGGAGGGTCGGATCTGTCAGGCAAGTCTAAATTCGGATTCTACGACCCAAAAAACTTAAAGTTAGCCCGTAATTGCTAGTTCGACTAAACTTTCCCTCAAACCTCCTATTTTGAGCTCTATTGCCTGGACTATAATTAGATGTCTTATTCGTAATTTTACCGGAAAAGTGCACTTAAACAATTTTGAATAAGTTAACCATTACAAAAATAATATTGAAATAAAAAAGGAGAAGGAAGTCCAAGAAGACTGGAGTTGAGACTGATGGAGTGGGAATAGAAGAGGGGGTGAGGGGGCGAGTAAGTGCAACACGCGTTACGTCGGCGCGCAGAAAAAATTCATTCGGGGAGGCCGGGAGTTTCAATTTTCGGCACGTTCTTTTCAAAGTTTTTTTTCTCCCGGCTTGGATCTTTTACAAAACGTTGAGCCTGGCCCCCCTCACCCCCCTTGTATCGCACCGTTGCGCTGGCTCACCTCCCCCTCCCCCCAAGTGCGTTACATAATACTTGAACTGCCCTTTTATATGGACGCTTCCGAGGCGTTTGGACAGATCATATTACTTTTCGCAAATCTACTGGTTTGAACCGTCAAAATGCGATTCTTTTCTAGCACGAAATTTTTTATGAATCATACATATCTTATCATTTGTTTAATATTGGTGTTGGTTTTATCGCTTCCAAATTTTCTATCAGTTTGAATTATAATTGTTATAATTAAAATTATAATTACCGGAATTAGCTTTTCTGCAATTGAACGATAAATCACATCTCTATTTAAGTCCATTAATCATGATAACTTGTTAACTTGTTGGAATAAGAAGAAAACATTTTCTTAGCTTTTGGTTAGCAATTTCTCTTTTTACTTTTATAATTAAAGATATTTTGTTTAAAAAAATTTTACAGAAAATTTCAGGAATAACTATGTATGTGTTTGTCTCTATTTTAAAAAATAAACCCGAGAGAAAACTCGCAAATCGCAATTTGAAATACATTTTAGCTTTTACCGTTGATGTTTGGATTTCGATCATTAAGATATATATGTATGCTTGGATGAAGGACAAAAAGTCTGCAATTTAAAACAGAAAAAAGGACATGCCAGCTCCAATTTGCGGTGCCAATACAATGGAACATCTGGGCAGCTATACACAAGTCTTTCGGCATCAACAAATGGATCGCCTTTTAGGTCAAAGATATTTATTTTAGTCACTTGTAAATGTGGTCAACAAAGTTGAGCTAGGCAGCCACGTAAGTAAGTACCTATCATTGGCGCGGCGAGCTTTGTTAAATATCGATTGATCCACCATTTAAATCCATAGAAAAGAATCGATTGACAGATTGTTTGCAACGAACACCTTAAAAATCGATTCTTTACCATAGCTTAAAATGGGGAAGTATCGACAATCGATCATTCACGCCTCGCCGCTGCGCTGGTATTTACCTATGTTCTTAAATTTGAGCATCCTGTTGAGGACTTCAATTTATGTTTCCTGCCTTTAAACTATTTTCGAGCAGGAGCACATCTCCTTCGCCTACACGCATCACAAGTACCTATCTCAATTTGCGGCTGTTCAAATTTTCCATCAGATTGTATTCTAATGACTGTGATGACCAATTAGACCTTAGTCTATTCAAAATCAAATGGAAAATGGACGTGTTTCTGGCAAATGGCACCAGAGACAGGTGGAAAGGAAGAGGTGTGCTCGTTAGTAGAAAGTCGTAAGAATGAATAGGAATTATATACGTCCAACGTCAAATACGTCCAATTTTGAGCGTTCGGTTAAGCGTACACCACGCTGTAGCACAGTGAAAGTACACCACATAAAAGGAAAAATTTAAGTGCTTTTGAAAATCATTAAATTTGTCACAGAACCACCTTAGTATTCACAAAACACACTTTATATTTGCCTTTGGTGCATATTTTTCTCCATCAATTTAAATGAGAATAATCCATGCAGAGTGTGCAAACATTTCAAAATCATGAGTCGAAAAACGCTGACTTCGCGAATTTAAGTTTTCAGCCAAATACAGAGCGGAGCGGCGCGGCGTTCTGCCAACGAGAGAGGCTCAGTGGCGCCTACAAACCTAACAGGGATACTTCACGCATTGCGCAATGCGTGAAGTATCCCTGTTAGGTTTGTAGGCGCCAATGCGCGCCCGTCCGCCGCGCCGCGCGGCGCGTCAAGCAACTATTTCACAACGGAGGTGTTGCATAGTATCACACGAAATTGAAGGCACTGCAACGTATTAAGAATGACAGGTTTCTTTTAAGAGTACAGTGCTTTCCTCGCACAAAAAAATCGAGATACTACGGCTCAAAAAGAGAGCGGTAGTCCAAATACTTACCAAGTCCTAGCATCCGTTTTTAATAACGTTTAGCATAATTTTTGAATTCATTAGAGAAAAAAGTGACTCGATTTAGGCAGAAATATTCTTGAGTATGCTGTCAAGAAGATTTTATTTTGAATCAAGAATAAAATCGCTAAATGAAAGCGGGTTTCTGTGTGATGTAAGTGACTTTTCTTTTTATACACGCATCTTTTCTTCTTTACACGCGCATTATTTTCTTCATTGATTCATAAGGAAATCTTCTCAGCGGTAAATTCAGGCATATTTCTGCTTGAATCAAGTCACCTTTTCCTCTAATGAAATTCACAAACCATGCTAAACGTTATTGAATACGGATACTATGACTTGGTAAGTTTTTCGACAACCACTCTCTTTTCGTAGTCATCACTCCATTTAATTTGCGAGGGAACTTTGTGCTTTTGAAAGATGTCATCAATCATGATACGATGGGGTGCCTTCAATCTTGTATGTTACTGTGCAACACCTCCCTGCCTAATTATTAGCTCAAAGCGACGCGGCACGCCGACGCCGTCGCGAAGTTATCGTACACAGGAAAAATCTTAAGAGCCTTTAGCTGAGGCAAATTAAAAGGTTTATTCAGTTCAGGTATAACAAGGTGGGAATTTCTTGAAAGATAAGTCCTGTTGCACCTAAGAGGTGTAGAGAGTTTTAGTGACTTTTCTCTCATAGAATTGACACTCCTCCATTTCTGCAGAAAATCTCAATAATACATGATAAACAAGCAAAACAAAAAAAACCAAACCCTCATTCTTCCAAGACATTATACATTTTTATCTAAAAACGTCGTGAGCAATTGTCGTTTGTATTCATATGTGGACCAATTGACTTTGGGTCTCAATCGGTACGTGGACCAAAATATCCTTGCCGAGAAAACGCGTGGACGTAAAACTACTGGAAAAAACCGGTGTGCGGGCAAGAAATCGTAGACGAAATGTCCTATAACCCCCGAAAGAAGGGCGGTAAACGGGGAGCAAGGCTCAACTTATCTTGGTCCATTCGCCGTCCTACGTATTCCCAAATAGTGCAGGTACGCATTTCGGAACGTAGCGGGATTCGCGAGTCAAACGCTGATAGCGAGACCAGAGATCGGGCAGACGGTGCAATGCTTGAAGTATCCTACTAGTTTTGCAGGCGCTTCCTGCGATCGTTTTTTGCGCAAAGTTCAAAGTTTCGGAAATTTTCCGCTTGAAGATTAGGTACCTTTTCACAGATCCAGTCACAACTACGATTTACAAAAGAGCAACACTTTTTCGCATATTTACAACAATCCAAAAGAGTCTATTCTCTTCTCTTTGTCGCTGACCTGGAGGTTTTAACGCAAAGTAGAAAAGTCGAATGGGATGGAACGTATGATACAACTAGATAACGTCAGATAACGTCACAAGGCGGTACATTTTCTCACTCTTAAATCTATTTCCCTACAATTTCCCATGTCACAAAAAAATTATGAGAAATACTGCGAACTCAGCTCTCTCAGATGAAGCAATACAATTTTTGTGTGCAAATTCTCCAATCGGTATTAGAGAATTTGCACGCTAATTTTTTATTGCTGCATCTGAAAGTGCTCAAAGAGCTGATTTCACAGTATTTTTCATAATTTTTCTCTGATATGGGAAGTAGCATAAAAATATATTTAAAAGTGAGAAAACGCACTGCCTAGTGACGTCATTTGGCGGCATTTTCCATTTAAACGCATGTACTTTAGCAGATTAGGTTATTTTATCATCTTTTCTCCAGCAATTGTCCAATTTAGAAACCAAGGATATCCTCGTGCTCAGTCTCCCCAGAAGTATCATTTTAATCATAAAATTCACAAAATTTCACACACCTACAAATTTCCCATTTCAGTTTAATCCGTGAAATTTGGTTCGGACGTCGCGCTACTTGGCGGCGGCGCGACCGGTCTGCGAGGCCGCGGCGAGATGATTGCCGACCCGCGCGTCGCGTCGCGCCGCTCGACGTCGCGCGACGTCCAGGCTGGATGGCAATGATCCCTACTCCCAGCGCCGATTCGCCGAGCGAAGGAGGTCCTCGCGCACCGCCGCGGCAGTCTAGAAAGTCGCCTCGCGCTGCGCGTCTCCTGTCGCTCCCGGCGTGTTCCCTCTCCCGTCCAGAATCCGCGAAGCCGCTTTGTTTACCGTCGGCAGTTCGACCGCCGCCATGCGACGCGCCGTCCAGTGCTAAGTCCCATTCCTCGCTGTTCGCCCCCGTTCGGCCCCTTCGTGGCGTCTGTGGTTTTGTTTGTGTGTGTGCCTGCCCCTGCCGCGCCGACCGAGACGGACGATCCAGGTGAGGGAACCCTTGCATATTTACGTGTACCGAGCACACCGAAAAAAAAATCTCGGTGCATTTACTAAGAAAAGGGTAAAATTACCAAGAATTCAGGGTCCTATTTGATCCCAGTTTTTTCTTTGTAAAATTACCATTTATGGAATTGGGTAAAATTATTGAACTTTCTCGGTAATTTTACTGGACCTTGGTAAAAACGCCAATATTTTTTATCGACCGTGGTAGAATTACCGAGATAAAATGGCAAAGTTACCGGGAATTGAATACCAATAAAAGTGGTGTTCTTACCTGAAAAAAAAAAAACAGTAAAAATACCGGTATTTAGGTAAGCTTACCAGTCTGTCTTGGTAAAATTACCAATAATTGGTAAAAAAAAGTGAGATGGTGAAGGTACTAACGGACCTTGGTAAAAACGCCGAGAATTTTTTTTCAGTGCAGGGTGGCACAATTTCATGAAAAATCTTGAAATACTTCATGAAATTTCAGGAATTTATGAAAGATGTTGAAAAATACCGATTCCTCTTCATGTTTCACAAAATGTAAAAATTGTGACTTTCTTCTTTTTTGTGTGTCTGAGTGCGGGTTGCATACTCTAGCCCCTGAAAAATGTGAGATATTTCACAGCCTCGTGAAATTTCATGAAATATTTCACTGAAATTTCCAATCTTTCATTTCTTTCTTACGTTTCATACCACCCTGGGACCGATGTTCAGCAGGAAGGAACCAAGTGCCCAAGTAGCACACTGGAAAATAAGGCACGGGCTTCATAGATGTCGAAGGCAATTATTCAAATCAGGCATTTTATTAAATGCCTGGGCCGGTAGTCAAATTTTGATAGTTTACAGACTATTATTAGTATTCAGCTCCTTGGTTGCTTGGAAGAACTCCATAACCATCACCATGCGGTTAGTTCCTTTCCTGGGATTAGTCTGGTTCGTTTTCTATTCAAAAATGGAGAATCACCGTCTTAGGAATTACAAAAATGACGAATTTTAAGAAAATTTGTATAATTTCTATTAAAAGTTAACAAAAGGCTGCAGCTTATTACAATTAACATTTTTAAACCAAAAAGTTCCCTCTCGAGAAATCAAACAGAAATTTTGTAACGAGTAAAAAGCATATCCCTTTTTCCTAAAAAATAAATAAATAAATAAAAAGGAGAAGAACAGGTTCCCAGGTTAATTCGAAATTTCTAATTGATGGATTTCAACGGTCTCCGGTGAGACCAACGAAGAAGTCAAATATCATTTTAAAAAATGCACAATCGTCGAATATCATTCAACGGTGAATGATATTCGATCGCTTATAGTGTTCATTGGGAAAATTTAAGTGACATAAGACGAAGTTTCAGGATCAGCTGAACCGCGTTTAGCAGAAAGGAACCAGGCCACATCAGATATTGCCAAATTAACCGTGCGATTTAATTTTTTACAAGAGAACGTTTGTGCGGATTTCTTTGCAAATTTTAAGGAATTTGCTCCGTACTATGAAGAACATTCAATGAAAGCACCAAAATCCGCAAAACCTTTTTCCTGGAAAAAATTAAATTGCCGAATTAAAGGCAATAGCTGATGGGGCTTGATTTCTTTTTGCGTAACGCGGTCCAGTTTTTCTTTGCCATGATGTCAATCTTCAATCGAAGAAATTTTAAAAGCATTTCTTCGGCGAGACTAGGTAACTGATAAAAAATATCTCTACGAGATTTACTTACCCTAAAAACAGACGCAGTATGAAATGTAAATTAATTTTCAGTTCAAGTTGCACCATCCCAGTGTCGGCACAATCGCTTCTTACATCCGTCGCAAATAATGCGTCGCCGTCGGATATTTTTAAGGCGTGGTCCAGTTTGCTTGTTTTAAACAAGTTCTCGGCAAAAAAACCCATTTTCTTCTACACTTTGCATACGTTTTATCTCATTCATATCGTCAGTTTGAATCATGGATTTGCGTTCTTAACTCTCTGAGTGGAATAGTAAAGCAATCAAGAATGTTTTACCTTGACTGCAGGTTTAAAGTGACCCAGAGGATTCGTGTGCCAAGGGTCTAAAAAGTCGGGATTTTAAGTAGTTAAAAGGAGGTGGGAGGTACTGAACTGCCCGAAAAAGTCTAATTTTGATCTTTTCCGGCCTTTATGTATAAAAGCTTAAAAGAATTACCCGTCCGCTTCCATTCTGGTACGAGGAAATTTTTTCTGAAAAGTATTTTTCTTTTGTCGATACAACTCAAAACATAAACTTGAAAAAAAGACGCGAGAAATGGATACTTTTGGCAAAAAAGCAAGTACAAAAGTAAATTATATGAGTTATTCAATAAAGAAAAACGTGCAATGAATTTGTCTCAACGCTCGGGGTTTCATTCTTCTTACAACTTTTTTTTTTGAAAATTGATGTAAGGTTGTCCGCATGGATCTTTTAAAATATTTTAAGGTTTGATGAAGACAAGAAAAAGTTTGTGAAGTGATCTTTCTGAGACATGTTTGTGTCGATGCATTTGTAAAGTAAAAAACTATCTTTTTTAAAGACTTTTAGGAGAGTTTCTGTGTCTGCTATTCTATCTAAAAAGCCACGCATTTCATTTTAAGGGGACACGGATTTATAACATATATTGTTTAATCATCTACAATATTGGTCCGAATCACATATGGCCAAGGTCTCTCTCAATTATTAGGTACTGATAGGTGTAGCCTACTCGTTCGGTTTTTTTACCTCCAAATCGCTGCGGTGTCAGTAAGTTGATTTCTACCTTGAGATTCAGATTCTCTAATCTGTCAAAATTCATAGTGAAAAAATTTGAAAAAAAAGTGACGGGGACCATTTAAAAGGTTGCAGTAATGATTTATCTCCTTCACGTTTCCCTGAACGTGCGCGTTTCGGAAGTCATCTCAAGCGAACGTAAAAGTCGTCAGTCGTCAATTAAAATGCTCTAGATGAAGGAGATCGGCCGATCACCCCGCTAAGTTAATTGAAAAAAAACACGTGGCGAGGACAGGTAACAGTCCTTAAAAATCGGAAGAACGGCAGAACATGAGTCTCCACCATTAAAGTTGTGGGTGGTTACGAATCTCGTGAACGAATTCTAAAGTAGTTTAATCACCAGTTGAGTATTTCAAACGAATTGCTCACTCACCTTCATTTCATTGACCTCTCTCGAACGTGGAAAATTTGGAACTTCGAATCGAAAATGTTTCGAAAGGGGAGCGGTGGAGAGAGTGATAATTTCCGATCCGATAAATGAAATGCTCGTCGAAAAGTTACAAACGCAGATGAACACTTAAAAATTGACGTCATCTGCCCCACTCCTTTGTACCCCGCCCCCATGTTTTAAGAAAAACTGTGTCTCAAGTTGGACGAGCCTTAAACCGAGAGGTATCAAGTGCATGGGTGCGTTTGTAAGAGCATTCATTTCTATCCGAAAATGAATGGCGAATATGATATTTCTGAAATAGGCAAAAGAAGTTGGTAAACTTCATTCGATTTAACTATACAACGCGCTCACTGAATAGGAACAATCTGGAAGGGCACGTTCATAAAGCATCTATTTGTATGAGGAAAAAAATTGTGATGCGCCATTTCCGGAATAAGTTAAAGAAGTTAGGTTTCCTGATTCGGTGCAATTAAATTGGATAACGTTTGTCGACATGGAACCAAATATATGCATACTATTTTAAGCGCACTTAATGATATTGGAAAACCAATGGCTTATGTACCGTTTCTGAGATCAATCATAATTTTATCCAATTTTTGTCAAATTGTTGATCTTTTTAATCTAAAAACAATCTGCGAGTAACTGAGGGAGAGGGAGGGATTAATAGAAGTAAAATAATAAAGAAATCGACAAAAAAAAATTGAAAATCTAATCTGTGAGATTTTGGACGAGAAGTCATTGTTTACTCTAAAGGCTGCATGCAATCCACGGTCAATTCAAATAGCTCTGCATTCATTACCTTCTAGGTCTCGTAAGAAAAAAGCTGAACCCCATGTCCATGAACTTCCAAAAGCACGAAGTCATGTCCACAAGTGGGCTCAGCGAATAGCGCACTTAGGTTTCTTTGTCACGATCATTTCGATATCTTGAAAACGGCGTCATTTGATACTTGTCACTTGTCTCTGTTTGTTACTTAGTTCGCCTTTCCTCAATTTTCTATCTTTGAAGTGAGAGAACTATTGAAGAGCTCTTGCACACACAAGAAAGAACATTTATCGTGATGTATTTCTATCAGCACCGTGGAAACAGTAAAAGGAAAAGCTCTCAGTTTTTCTCTCCATACGAGAGTGAAGAAAAATCGTTTTCCTACGACAGTTTTATGAAACCGGTCTGACGAAAACAAATATTCTTCGAGATTACGTCAAAAGCATAATTTATTTTTATTTTAGACAACTTTTAATTTCACAGTAGCGTTGATCGCTCAATCAAAAGTTTAAAAAAACTTCGTAAATACGAAGAAAAAACTTACAAACGAATTGTGAACTTATAGAAATCAGGAAGCCCTCTTTTAAAACTAAAATAAGTCAATTTCAATAAAAAGCATAGAAGGATACTGCAGTTTGGTATGCATGTTCCATGATTTGCGAATGTTCCTTCGAATTTATTTTATCTCGGTGGATCCTGACCAATGGCGAGATGTGAATGATCGATTATCCATACTTATTTCCCCATTTGAAGCTACGGCAAAGAATCGATTATTAAAGTGTTTGTTGCGAACACCCTGTTAAACGATCTTTTTCCGTAGGTTCAAATGGCAGATCAATCTATGTATTGCAAAGCACGCCACGGCACTGATCCAGACATGTCTACAGAGAAATGACGGGAGGGATGCGGGTTTACACGATACCTATACGAGGCACGCGTGGTTGTGAGCGACGTCAAACTGTTACCAGTCGAAAACGCCTTCAGTTTCGAACGATACTTCACCGCGCACACTAGCGTTAAAATATTTGTATCATAAATTGCCGGACAAAATTCTCCGCTTTTCGAAGAACCTTGCAGTGTTTTGTTTCACAT